CCCTCCCCTGGGACCCCCAAACCGGGCGCCCCCCCCCAGGGACCCCCAAACCGGGACACCCACCCTGGGACCCCCCCCTAAACACCCTGAGGCACCCCCAGCTTCCTGGGACCCCCAGACCGGCACCAGGGTCAGCATGCCCTGCGGCCGGGGGGCTGTGAGACCCCTCCCCTGGGACCCCCGGGACCCCCAAACCGGGACACCCACCCTGGCACCCCCAAACTGGGACCCCCCCCCGACTCTGCGACACCTCCCAGGACCTCCATGACCCCACTGTGACGTCACACAATTTGGGGAGGGGTGGCGGGGGTCGCACCTCCTGCTGGAAGAGGCTCTGGCAGCCCCAGATCACCCCAAATTCCCTCTGGGGGACAGTTTTAACCCTTTAACCCCCGATTTTAACCCTTTAAACCCCGAGTTTAACCCCTTAACCCCGATTTTAACCCTTTAAACCCCGAGTTTCGCCCCTGCCATTTAGGGGAGGGGTCGCGGGGGTCGCACCTCCTGCTGGAAGAGGCTCTGGCAGCCCCAGATCACCCCAAAACGGCTCCAAACTCCCTCTGGGGGACAGTTTTAACCCTTTAACCCCCGATTTTAACCCTTTAACTCCCGAATTTAACCCCTTAACCCCGATTTTAACTCTTTAACCCCCGAGTTTCGCCCCTGGCATTCAGGGGAGGGGTCGCGGGGGTCGCACCTCCTGCTGGAAGAGGCTCTGGCGGGCCCGCAGCGCCCGCAGGCGGCCCTGGCGCTGCTCGTGCCGCAGCTCGGGGGGCGGCGGCTCCAGGTACCCGATCAGGTCCTGCAGGCTCAGGATGACCCCCGCGATGGGCAGGGGGGGCGGCGGCGACCCCCGGGGCCGGCCCTGGAGGCTGTCCAGGCTCCTGGGGGGGGGGTCAGACCACCAGGACCACCCTAATGACACCCCCAGACCCACTGGGATATCCCCATGGCACCCCCCAGAACGCCCAGGAGGTTCTGGCACCCCCAGACCCCTCAGGACCCCCCCAGGGGACCAGGATGGGGTCAGGAAAGGGATTAGGAAAGGGTTGGGGACATCCGGGGGACATTCCCAGGGACAGGGAGCAGGACAGGGAGCAGGAGCAGGTTGGGGACATCATGGGGACATCCCAGTGGTGTTGGAAACACAGGTGGCCACGCTCATGGTGGGGACAGGGACCAGGAACGGGTTGGGGACATCCAGGTGACATTCCCAGGGACAGGGACCAGGAGAGGCTTGGGGACATCCAGGTGACATCTCAGAGATGTTGGAAATATGGGAACAGAAGGTGACTATGTTCATGATGGGGACAGGGATGGGGACAGGCTGGGGACAGCAGGTGACAGCCCCACCTTGGAGGCCTGGAAGCAGAAGGTGGCCATGCTCATGGTGGGGACAGGGATGGGGACAGGGATGGGGACAGGGATGGGGAGAGGGACCAGGAGCAGGCTGGGGACAGGGATGGGGACAGTCTGGGGACATCCAGGTGACAGTCCCACCTTGGAGGCCTGGAAGCAGAAGGTGGCCACGCTCACGGTGGGGACGGGGATGGGGACAGGGCTGGGGACAGGGACCAGGAGCAGGTTGGGGACAGGGATGGGGACAGTCTGGGGACATCCAGGTGACAGCCCCACCTTGGAGGCCCGGAAGCAGAAGGTGGCCACGCTCTCAGCGGGGACAGGGACAGGGATGGGGACAGGCTGAGGACAGGGATGGGGACAGGCTGGGGACATCCAGGTGGCAGTCCCACCTTGGAGGCCCGGAAGCAGAAGGTGGCCACGGTCACTGTGGGGACAGGGATGAGGACAGGGATGGGGAGAGGGACCAGGAGCAGGTTGGGGACAGGGATGGGGACAGGCTGGGGACATCCAGGTGACAGTCCCACCTTGGAGGCCCGGAAGCAGAAGGTGGCCACGCGCGTGTTGGCCGCGCTGGCCTCCACCATGGCCAGCCCGCTGGCCTCGGTCAGCGCCAGGTAGCGGCCCGTGGTGACGTGGCGCAGGCGGAAGGGCTGTCCCCAACGCAGGTGGCTCCCGCTCCAGCTGAGGGACACGGGGATGCGTCATGGGGACATGGGGGCACACAGAGGACACAGGGATGGGTGATGGGGACACGGGGATGGGGACATGGGGACATGGGGATGGGTCACAGGGACACAGGGGGACACAGGGATGGGTCATGGGGACACAGGGATGGGGACACAAGGACGTGGGGGGGCACAGGCTGGGTCACAGGGACACCGGGGACACAGGGGGGGGTCATGGGGACACAGGGATGGGTCATGGGGACACAGGGATGGGGACACAAGGACGTGGGGTGGCACAGGCTGGGTCACAGGGACACCGGGGACACAGGGGTGGGTCATGGGGACACAGGGATGGGTCATGGGGACACAGGGATGGGGACACAAGGACGTGGGGTGGCACAGGCTGGGTCACAGGGACACCGGGGACACAGGGGTGGGTCATGGGGACACAGGGATGGGTCATGGGGACATGGGGGGACACAGGGGACACAGGGATGGGGACATGCAGATGTGTCACAAGGACATGGAGTGACACAAGGGACACAGGGATGGGTCACAGGGACACAGGGGACACAGGCAGATGTGCCACAGCAATATGGGGACACAAGGAGATGCCGGGAGGTGGCACCAGAATAGGACACAGCGACACATCTTGGGGACAGTCCAGGACCTCAAACCCCCACTGGGGCTCCACGGGGGGACACCACAGAGTGTCCCCAGTGTCCCGTGTCCCCATGTGTCCCCAGCTGTCCCCCTGGTGTCCCCATGTCCCCAGCTGCCCCCAGGTGTCCCCAGCTGTCCCCAGTGTGTCCCCGGTGTCCTCAGCTGTCCCCAGCTGTTACCCATGTCCCCAGCTGTCCCCAGTGTCCCCAGGTGTCCCCAGGTGTCCCCAGCTGTCCCCATGTCCCCCAGATGTCCCCGTGTCCCCGTACCTGATGCGCAGGGGCTCCAGGCGCCACAGGGACCGCGCGTGGCCGCACACGGCACCCCCCTCGTAGTTGACAACGCTGCTGGCAGGTGACAAGGGGGGGTCACAGCCAGCCGGGGACCCCTCCCCAGCCCCAGTTCGGGGGGACAGGTTGGGGACAGCCCCACCTGCGCTCCTCGCCCTGCTCGGGGGCCGTGGGCGTCAGGCACTCGTCCATGTGCCCGTGGAACAGGCGCAGCACGTGGCCGCCGGTGACAAATCCTGGGGGACATTTGGGGAGGGGGGGTCAGGGCGCTGGGACACCCCAAGGACCCCCAAAGATCCCCCAAAGACACCACAAAGACCCCCCAGAGACCCAGCTCAGAGCTCTCAAAACCCCCCGAAACTCCCTGAAACTCCCCCCAAAGCCTCCTCAGAGCCTCCCCAGTGATTTTGGGGGGGGGTTTGGAGACCAAAATTCCCAAAGACCCATCTCAGAGCTCTCAAAACCCCCCAAAATTCCCCCCAAAGCCTCCTCAGAGGCCCCCCTGGCGATTTTGGGGACCCCAAAAGACCCCAATGATCCTTCTAAAACCCACAGACCCCAAACATCCCCCAAATAACCACCAAAGACCCATCTCAGACCTCTCAAAACCCCCCAAAACTCCCCAAAATCCCTCTGAAACTCCCCCCAAAGCCCCCCCACTGCCACCCCAGCACATTTTGGGATGGGGACAGGCTGGGGACAGGGG